TCTTTACCTGTCTTCAAAAAAGGGACATTTGCTGTCTTCTCAGCCCCCTTCCCCTCTTCATCAGAATGCATTTACCAGGACGGCTTACGATGGAAGGGACCATCTGACGCCCAGTCAGTTGGGTAAACCAACTAATTTCATTTTCTTTCGGATTCAGAAGAAAGCTTGCAGAACACCTACATCTTCCAAATTCCCTATATAACTGTATGCAACTAACTCTGGACGGTTTGCGCAGGCTGTGCATCAGAGAAGTGAGGAGGTATCTTTCACTGCTATCAGTGAGTTACACATACTGTATATGGCATCCACATACCGAACAAAAAAAGCGGGCTTCTGATTGGCATCATCGTCTTCAGCCAATCAGCATAATGGGGCCACCAGTCTAAACGAGAGCCACTGCACTGCCGTAAAATAGTTACGTCATATAGAAAATATTCCAGTCCAAAAGTCACAAAAGGTATCATAATCTTAGATCAGAGTTTCTTTACACGCCCAGGATCTCACCAGTTTGAGATCATTTCACTTTACAATTTTAACCGCTTTCAACTTCAAAGAAAGCATACGAACATATAGTCAAAGAAAACGTTTCAGATCACACCGCTGCACGTTGCATCAGAATATGGCCAGTCAGACGTTGCCAAAGTTTTACTTGAAAGCGGAGCGGATGTCATCGGGAAAGACAAGAACAATGTAAGTGGTGCATTAAGATTTCTGTAAGGTTATAACTCAACATGGGATATTTTTTACTACTATGAGAACATGTGAAAACGCAATCTTTAAGGAGACGTCTTCTTTTTAGAAAACTCCGCTGCACCTCGCTTCAGAATGCGGCCAGTCAGACGTTGCCAAAGTTTTACTTGAAAGCGGAGCGGATGTCATCGGGAAAGACAAGAACAATGTAAGTGGTGCATTAAGATTTCTGTAAGGTTATAACTCAACATGGGATATTTTTTACTACTATGAGAACATGTGAAAACGCAATCTTTAAGGAGACGTCTTCTTTTTAGAAAACTCCGCTGCACCTCGCTTCAGAATGCGGCCAGTCAGACGTTGCCAAAGTTTTACTTGAAAGCGGGGCGGGTGTGAACGGGAAAGACAAGAACGATGTGATTAATGTATTGAGATTTTTGTAAAGTTATATCTTCGCATGAGCTATTTTTACCTACTCTAGAAAGCTGATGGACTAGAATGAAA